GAATCACTGTAAAGTGTGTTCCCACACTGCCCCTGCCCACTGGGGAAGGAGGGTGTTGAAAACCAGAACGTGACAGCTGGAGAGGATCCCACCTGTGGCTTACTCCTGTGGCCGAAGCATGGACGACGTGAAATGGGGACGCATTCAGCTGGGAATCAGCAACACCCAGAATCCACACCAGGACTGGGCAGCAGAGGCCAGCAGTGGGGGGCATCTTCCCCCAGGATACAGCAGCTGTACCCTCTCAGGACTCACAAATCAACGCCAGTCCTTTTCACCAGGGAAAGGTAACTGACTGGTCAGGGCCTTGTCCCTGTCCTTGCATACCTTCATCTGAGGCCCCTGAGGCCTTCCGCCAGCTGCTCACTCTTTCCTCGTTTGGTGGGAGACAGAAGTCCCTCAGTGGCTCACTGCAGACATTCCCATTTCCCCCATCTCTGGGTCTTAACTGCTTAAGGACAGTGGAACTGGGTTGCTACCCAGCTGGTGTCCCCCCAGGGAGGTCACTGCTCTGCTCCCGTGTTGTGGGATCAGTACTGACTTCAAGAAACCAAGCCCCCCGGTAGGCCAGCCCAGCTCCAGGGACAATTTTATGTGCACACAGTCCATAGCAGACATAAAATGTGTCTGACTTGATTAATAAAGGAAACAAAGTTTTACAACTTTCAGATTATACTCAAGGGGCGGATCAGTGGGAAAAAAGAGCAATCCACGTGTCACCATGGCTTGGGGAACTGTATGACATGTCTGCGCTTTTCCAAGTGCTAAGTGAAATGTCACTGCCATTGAGGATTCGGCTAGAGCAAACAGACTCCCCCACAGCCACAGAGCCCCTGACGATTCGCTTCCTGCTGGTGCCCCAGCAGCACATGACGAGTGCCCCACCAGGAGAGCGCCAGAGACGGCCTTTTCAGGAAAGGAGCCGGCTTCTGCTCAGGGTCTGTCTTTACACTTATATCTAAAAACCCGATACCAATATAATCTTCCAAAATGTCATTCCTCACCCTGCAAGACATGCAATGAGGAAAACCAGCACTGATAGCTATAACATCCTACCTCATTGGAGACTTCAGTGTTTGATCTGGGAAGGACTTGGGGCAGAGGATGGCTGAAAGGAGCCCGAATCAGAAAGGCGATAACCTGGACATGGAGTTTGCTAAGCAAGCACTGGCTGGCTTGAGGTAGGAAGTTTCTTGGGAGTAGCTCACACCTCTGAGTGCCCCCAACAAGTGACCCCGCTCTCTGGCTACAGGTGTGCATGGTGCCCTTGGTGTCCCTGGAGGAGTGTCCAGGACCCTGCAGATGCGCAAGTCCCTCCTGCAAAAGGGCAAGGCTCTTGCACATCCTGCCACAGTCTAGCTCTTCTCTAGAGTATCAGAGACAACGTACACATTGTGGGAATGGCATCACGCTCTCCTGCGCAGGAAAGGAGTAGGAAGGGGTCTCTGAGTTCAGTATGTGAGCAGTTAGCTTTCACCCATGGATGCAGAGGGCCAATGACGACAGCCTCAGAGCGGGAGAAGTCGGTTGGAATTGCAGTCAGTGTAGAAAACGAGAATGGTGGAGTGCATGCCTGTAATCACAGCAACTCTGAGGCTGAGGCAGGAGGGCGCAGGTTCAAAGCCAGCCTTAGCCATTTAGTGAGACCCTATCTCAAAACAAACAAACAAAAAAATACTGGGAATGAGGCCCAGTGGTTAATATCCTTGAGTGTTCAATCTCGGGTACCAAAAAAACAAAAGGAATCAGTCTCGATTTTGCCATTATGATTTTAACTAACCACCTGGCTTGGTTACTGGACTACAGATTACTTGGAATAGATAACATCAGCCAAGATTTTCACTGAATGTAAAACGTATCATAAAACATGTTATGTTCTATCCTGTAGATGGCACCTTTTGTTATGTCCTATGAAGCTTGCCATCGCAGCTCCTGTGCCCACTTGGGAGAAGTGGCGTGAGGTGACCTTGGTGGCTGAAGGTGAATGTGGGCAGTAAGAAGCAGCTCTGCCATGGGCGAGTGGGCGGCCAGCCCTCGGGACTACACCTCTGCATGACCAGGACCAGAGGATCGCCCACTCCTATGTCCCACTGCCACCACCGCAGAATGACCTGGGGGTTATTTTCCCTCAAGAAATATGCACCTGGCATCCCAGGGGCCCTAGGACTACCAGGGTGAGTAGGACCAGAGGTGGGCCTCGTGGGCCTGAGAGGAAGCTGAGCACGCAGGACGCTCCCCCACACGCGGGACGTGCCAGTGCTGAGCCTTGGGGACAGGCGTCCCAGGAGCAGGAAACCAGGCCCTGAAGCAGAGTGGCAACCCAAGACGAGGGAGCCACTCCATGGAGAGCGAACAGTCACCCCACCAGTGTGCGGAGGTCAGAGGGACTCTGGGAAGGAGACACGCATGAGGGATGGCACGCAGAGGCCAAACAGGCACCAAGGAAGCCACCACAGGGCTTCAGGGTGGACCGTCTCACAGTCAGTGCTCTGTGGACAGCTGGGGCACGGGAGGAACCATGAGGTCACCCAGGGGAGGTAGGATGGGCTGGCAGGTCAGGATGGGAAGGGAGTGACCATGGGAACTGGAAGATGGACGCCAGGGGAGGTGGGGAAGGGGATGGGGTGATACCTGAGAGGAGGTGGGGATGGGGATGGGGTGGGTCGTGAGGGGAGGTGGGGATGGGGAGTAGGGAATGGGGTGGTGCCGCACTCTTGGCTGGGCGCAAGATCACGAGCCACTCACACCTTGTAGATTCAAACAGCAATTCTTTATTCCCCAACTCACACAGGCCCTCTGCAAACACGTTCTGCCGCACAATTCACGTCCCAAATACTTTCTGAAGTCCACGAGAACTCAACTGGAACTCAGGCAGCAGGATACACCCTATTCCCAGCAGCAATAACCTTAAACCTGGAACTGCCTTAAACCTGGATACTTCCTAAAACCTGCAGGATACACCCTAAACTTGGATCCACCCTCCTTCTTGAGCAAGGTCACCTTTCTCAAAGACACATGCAATGTCACAGCAAATTTCCAAGGCAACTCCATTTAACATGGGGTACGCTGGCAAGGAAATTTCCATGCGTCATTCCTACTTGGAATTGGCC